TGGCAACACAAGCCTTTTCTACAAAAAATTTGAAGCATCGACAATTTTACATTCTATTGCCAACATAATGTCATTTTGACTTTTATCTTTAAAAAAAAAACGGATTTTAGTAAATGAGTACCTAAGGTATTCAATTATGAACGACATAATGGCCTTAAGCCTCATTTACACGGTGCAAGTAGCTTGAGCAAGTACTAACGCCAGTAACTAAAATTTAGTAACATGAATCGTGTAAATTAATTTAGTACTTGAGCAAGTAAACTCCTTAGTCAAGTGATTAGTCAAGTGAATAGAAGTAGGTTCTATTTACTTGAGCAAGTGGCTTCCCACACTCTCGTTTATTATACTGATTTTAGCGGACTGGACGCGTGTAGACAGGATTTGTATTTAGTGATTAGTGAAGTACATTAGTAGGGTTTGAATTCGAATATTTTGAGTATTGTGTTGCACCTATTAATTTCCTTTGCAATGTCGTCTTGTTGGACGCTAAAGTTGGGTGCTAATCATGGGTTTTATTTTGAAAAGTAACTTATTGAATTGTTCTTTTGTCATCCCCATACAATTTCGATATTCTTCTGGATCTTCCTTAGCCAGTTCAACTAATAAATTGGAAGATGCACCATGTGTTTCTCTACGAGATATCCATGGTCGAACCCAACAACGTTTTTCTTTTTCAATTTCTTTCAATAAAATTTCTGATAATTCTCCACAAACACTCAAAATGCATTTTTGAATTTCTTTTCGAACAACTGTACTTGCTGCCATTTCACCTCAATTTGCACTAATCACTAAATTCGATTTAAAATCAGTAAAATGCATGTAGACACTCACTTGCACGAAAACAAAGATAATTTAGCTACTGGCGTTAGTACTTGCTCAAGCTACTTGCACCGTGTAAATGAGGCTTTATGCTCGGGTTTATTGTTTGTTTCTTGATGGTTTGTGTGCTTTCTCTGCCTTCTGTCTTTTTTGGAGAAGTTAATAATAAATAAATAAAAATAAATAATGAATAATCAATTGAAAAGTTGGGTTAAGTTTTCCATAGGGTGAATTCGATATATCGATTTAGTTGTCGCCCCCAGGAAAAGTTGACATGAAATTCTTGACATCTGGGCAACACTGAATAAAATTGACCAATCAGAAATTTGGTGCCGTGACGTCACGGCACCAAGAAATTTGAACTTCAAATCAAAATTTAAAGCCTTTGTAAGTCCGAAAAAAATCTGAAAAAAATACAGTTGAGCTTTATTTTGACTCCTCTTTCCAATAGGCAAATAAAAAAAATGCATGCAAGAGGTCCATTATATCTTTTATATTATAAGTAATATAGCATTCTAAGATCTTTCACATTCCGTTGATGTTCAAGGCTTCTGATATGGATATTTGATTCCAACTGTGGGTATGTCAATTCGGGATTATTAAATTTAAAGGCTATGAATTTTAAAAATTTGTGTTGAACTTTTTCTATGTTTTGGATATGAACATTGTAGTGGGGATTCCAGACGCAAGAAGAGTATTAGTGAATTCACTGGTTATGGTTATATGCTTCATAGAACCGAGCATCTGAAGAGATTTCGATAAGGCTTGGTGGATGTGTGGGATAAAAGTGAGCTTAGAGTCCAGAAGAATACCTAAATCTCTGATATCGGGGACGTTTGGGAGTATATCATTTTCAATGGAATAGGGATGTTCAAAAGGCGATCTTCACCTATGGAAAACTATCGAATAGCACTTTGAAGGATTCAAGTCTATCCTGTTTCCGTTGCACCAAGCTTCCAGATTATTTATGTCTGATTGTAGAGCTATAAAATTCTCTTTTGAAGAAGTAATTTCCATGTACAACTCCAAATCATCGGCAAAAAAGAGAAACTGAATGTGTTTGAAGTGCAATGCTAGATCATTTATGAAAATATTGAAGAGAAGAAGGCCAAGATGCGACCCCTGGGGGACTCGATGGTACTTGTAGGTATGTTTTTGGAATGAAAATTGTTGAATCAGACTATTTGAGATAGTCCTGTTAAATAACTCTGCAACCAGCGCAGCAAAGAACCTCCAACACCCACAAGCTTCAGCTTAGACAGAAGGACGGCGTGGTTAACCCTATCGAACGCCTTGGAAAAATCCGTGTACCTGAGAGCCTCTCTCCAAGGTACTGGATACAAAATCTACGTACGTCAGCAGAGTAAGTTCACTCAGAATACTAATTGGTTGATAGCTCGTTATCAGATCCTTTTTTACTGATTTGTGGATTGGTGTTAGGTAGCTTAGTTTCCAGAATTCGGGGAAAATTCCGTTTGAAAGAGACAAGTTGAAAATATAGTATAGTGGTCGGGCTAGGACAAAGCTGCAGTGCCTGAACAGTGATGGCGGTATATCGTCTGGCCCTAGTCCCTTATTTGTGTCTAGGGTATTCAAATTCGAGTATATACCTAAAATTAGCAGCAATTTCTTGCAAATCAAGCGCAAGTAGCAAACTTGCAATAGTCGCGTTGAAGACCCGATATTTTCTACCGTTTGTGAGCTATATTTTTTTCTATTATATAATGTTTAAGGTCTTGTGAAAACCATCTGGGCCCGTTTTCTCGTAACCAGGGAATGGCGTTCTCAAGAGAGAACAATTGCTCCGTCTTTGTCAGTATTATGGAAATAACAATATGGGCGACTAAGACTGAGAAAATCGTTCTCTCGAGAATGCTGTTCCCCGGTTACGAGAATACGGACCCTGGGGAATCTACCTGAGGAAATTCTCTTAAGGGGTACAAACAGTCCAATTGCGAATAAATAGCATTATAGAAGGTATTTACCATATCGTCCAGACTAGCATGCGTGAGTAGATCATCCCATCCAATGGTTCCCAAGTAATCACTAATTAAATTTAAATTCGCCAACTTGAAATCTCTATAGCAACCATCGCAAAAACGAGATCTTTTATTTATATTGTCAGAGTTAAAACACATTTCTATGTTCAGGGGTGGGTAATAATCATCCAGTGGCACAATACAATCGTCAGATTAAAGAAACCACACAAGTTTCGTCTTGAAAAAGCATCAGGTCCAGCGTTAAGTTGAAAATTTTTTTGAACATGTTGAGTTGAAATAAATTGTGGAAGGCACACCATGTTGGAAACAACCTCCAAGGAATCCGCTTCGTTATACGGGGTACAGGTAGCACGGATTTGACAAATGAGCCTAGAGCATTGTTTTCCCATAATGCATGAGACAGGTTAAACTCACCAAGAATTCCAATTGTTGCCTGAGGGTGTTCCTCAGATAGCTTGTCAATATTCTCACTTAACGAAACATAAACAGCGTAAGCTGAGCGAGGGAGGAAATAAGCACTAGCTAGGATAAGGGATTTCTTTCCCGCTTCGATAAGGACAAAAAAATATGTTATCCTCCACAGATAGTTACCTAGTTCTGATGGAAATGTGGACCCCAATTGGAACTCCCCCGCCTCTATTATAAATTCTGGTTTGGAGAGATCGATCCCTTCTATAGATCCTGTAATCCTGCATTAACAATTCAGCATCATTAAATGATTCATTAAGCCAGCTGCCGGATTCTATTTTATGAGTCGAGTCGAACTTCGTATCGAATTGTCAAAATAGCGATTCTATTTTAGGATTTTTCGATACGTATTGCACGGTACGTCCGGAGCTTTCGTATTCGATATCGAGTGTCATAGCAGAAAATTCAACTCGACTCGTAAAATAGAATCCGGGTCCAGTCTCAACAAATACGATGAGTATTTATATATAGTGGCACCCTGGGACAGACCTCAAAAGATAATTTATCTTGATGCGGAGGCCTTTGACATTTTGGGAGTAGATCGAGAGTTGCTCATTGTGTGAAATTAGGCCCTTTGCTGGTTTTTTGAGGTACAATTAGGCAATTCAATCCATCTGTCAATAAGGAAAATTCAATGTGCCGTGGCGGCCAAGCAAGTTTGTTTTGAATATGTTTTTATGCGTATTTCAAATTATTTTGCATACAGTTTTGCTTACAGCTTTGATTTTCATTATTTAATAAAACATTTGTTGACTAGGTACCTAAACTATTAATTCGGGCAGAAACTAGATATTTTTTGTGTTTTTTGGCCCATGTGTGGCCGCCACGCCATCTTGAATGTCACGTGGTCTGAATTGCCTAATAGAAGGAATGCCATGACGATATCTCACAATTGAATTTGTTTCCCCTTAGGCGGTTACACACGGACGTGGATGTCTGAAAACATGAACGCACATATTGTTCGTCGATTTTAATCTGATACTCGGACGGAATGTGAGCTGGTGGCTCCCTACATTAGAACGCCAATGGTTACCTGACGTCACACCTGTTTTTGCCATATGAAACACCCCCTCGCTCCTCATACCGCAAGTGTCAGTTAAAAATCGATGAACAATACATGAACGTGCAAACAAAAACATCAATCTGTATGCAAAATACCGTCGCGTTTTTGAATGTGCAATTTTGTATGCACACTCGGAATACTGTAGCAAGAATAGCAAGACTGCAGTTTTGTGCGAGCGTCTGTACAAAACGCCGTGCACGTTGTTGTTTGCACGTTGATGTATGCACGTATATGTATTAAGACATCCACGTCCGTGTGTAACCGCCCCTTAAGATAATCCATTCGCTAGATGTGCACGGACATACTCAAGCAGAAAGATTAGCTGTATACAACGCAGTGCATGGAATTTCTAAAGCTCAACAGTTTTACGAAATTCCGTCAAAAAAAAATAAGGATGTAGTGTTTGATCTGGTTGATATTAGAAAAAGTTTTGACATCGTTGTAAAGAATGAAAATAAGTATCAGGACAATGGGACTATAAGCGCTGTTCTGACCGCCGCATCGATTTTGTACACAAACTGCTGGTGATATTAAGAAGTCCCAAGGAATGTTTAGAATACTTTTTTTTTCGCAATACAATCTAGCAAAAAAGCAATTTGATTTTAGGTTGCAGCTGGTGAAGAGAGATCCGTGTATCACCTGAAGAATATATGGACATGTTAGTTGACTACGGATCAATTAAAATCTATGCTTTAGCTACTCTGCAAAAAACCAAGCAAACTTGGATCGGAGAAGACGACTTCACTATGCTTCAGCCAGTGTTGAATATATGGATGTCAGAACCGTGTGAAATCGCCTTTAGGTAAGAATCTTGAGTTTTTACATACAAGTCGCTATTATTAAATCGTTAATGATTAACTGTTAGAATAGTATTTTCTAATCCGCTAAACATCCAATTTACAAATTACGTCAAAAGTCCGGATTCACAGAAACCAAAAACTGTGGAACATGAGAATATTGTCGTCAAGCGTCTTTATAACGCATTTATATGGAAACATAATGTATTGAATTGAATCTTATTCTTGTTTTTTTCCGTTTGTAGAGATCTAAATCCATTTTTTTTTCTTTTCGGAGAAATACGTACCCCTGGCATACAAGTTGAGTCATTCCGGATAATTTATTAGCCATTTCTTTCACTTTATCCAAATTTCCGATTTTATCCTTGGTGTTTTTTCTATAATTCTTCATTCAACTCTCTCCTTACTCCACTACAGTATTTACATTTGTCTTTATACATTGATGCTATTACCTGATTATCGAACGTGTCAACTTCTTTATTTTCTTGATCCGATTTAGGGAGAATCTCTGGGGATACATATGTCGAACACATTTTTTTTTCTCAACTATACAAAAAGTATTTCCCATTTAGAGTCTAGTAAGCAGTTAACACGAGCACGGGCACTTGTCGAGGTTTCCATTTTAATTACCTATTATTCTCTGCTACTCTCAAGTGTACTTAATTCTTGCAGCTCTTATAACGAACAATGAAAGGAAAAAGCACATTCTAATTTTTCCTTAGAGAGTCGAATTTAAAGCCCCGGTATTTAATATTGGACTGACACAATTTTGTTTCAATATAAGCCCTACTGATTGAACTATTTTGAATAAACCCATCATAGTTTTGAAAGTTATGACACACGTTATTTTTAAAGTTCATCAAATCTTATCGAGTAATGAGTGATAACAAGGACCACATTGAAGTAATTATTGTGATGTGGCATATTTTAGAAAAACGAGAGGTTATGGTTGCTTATCTGAATTTGAGCAAGAGGCAAAACTAATTTCAAAATAAAAAAACAAACAAAATAATACATATACTTGAACACTGTTAATGAATTAAAAACTTGGGATAACGTTTTAATTACTCAAATTCTCCGTCCATTCTTAAAGTATACATTATTCTTGTTGCTTCACGAACGACAAGAGAGGTTAAAGCACCATTTATTTCGTACTCGAGAAGCATCCAAGTGAAAAAAACAAATAAAGCACAATGTCTTAATCTCGGGATTAAAAACATTGCAAGGCAAAACAAAACTACTTATTTGTGTTTTCTTCTAACAGGGAAAATGAAAATTTGAAAAGTTTTAGATATAAAAGTAATCAAATTACGATGGCTGATAAAAAGGTCAGAGATTGCTGATGGGGAAAAATGTAATTTTTTGGCTTCAGGTGAATAGAAAATCGATAAGTTGGAAAGTTGACAAACTCTATATCATTTAGTACTTTCGAAGTTTTTTTTTTTTTTTTTTTTTTGTTACCCAACGTTTTATAACTATAGAAGAAAATAAAAGCCAATAAATTCACCTTTTTATTGCGGTTATGTAAATTTTATATTTCAATGTATCACAGGTGTCATAGGCATTAATTTATTACGTGGTCTGGAACAATATTTATGTATTTATTATTGTAATAGGTTGAAACCTGTAGTCATTTACTTGCTTCAATATCTGAATATGTGCTGGTTTGACTCTCAAATTTATGTTGAAGGTTGTAGACTCGACTTGCCGCAATGTTTGGCACGGAACCATCCAATAAGGATTTCCGCAGAGAGATTCTGACTGAAATAGTGTTCGGATACGCCAACGGAGGGCAATATCCTTTACTAAAAACTACTTCTATAATTCGAAAATTATGACTTGTTTTGGTTTCCATTGTGGATCCTACACTGAGAAAATTTTTTCATTGTCATAGCTAATTTTTCTGCTGCCGTTGCCAAAAATTTTGGCTACATAGGGGACAGCCAAGATCTTTACTACCCTCGAAGAGATAACTTTACTGGCAAAGAAAAGCTAATTTGCTGTTGTAGGAAAGTAACTATGCTATCCTAGAAAAGAGGTTCTATACCCTCAAAAACATCATTTTTTGTGATTGAAAAGTAGATTGCTAAGACAGGAATAGTATATTGTTGTATTAGGAGTAGAAGCTTTACTTTTTTGTGCTGAAGCAGTAGGTTTGTTTGTGCTCGGGGTTAACTGAATGGTTAAGCGGCAGTAAAAGTACGAGCGGCACTAAAAGTACTTTTGCTGCCGCTGGGGTTGCCAAGCAGCGTAGAAATTAAATTTCTACCACCTCGACAGGTGTTAACCTGCTGGATTTGCCTACCAGCATAGAAATTAAATTTCTGACATCTTGACAGAGGTTAACAAAGTGGCGTTTTTTTGACGTTTGGAGAAAAATATATTTGTTGTTGTTATAAGATATGCTTTCTAAAACAGGAAAGCGTTTTTCTAGGACAAAAGATTTCTTGCCAGAATCAGCCAAGTATTTTATTAGCCATGGGAAGTTATTTGTTCCACCAGTAGCAATAATATTTTGCGAGAAATCTTTGGAAATAGTATCGCGACCAATCAAACCAGGAGATAAACAAACTGCAACCATTAAGACACCAAAGCACCCTCTACCTCGGTAGAAAACACCCAGTGACACCGGTCCATGACCAGTCGAGAAAAAAAGGTGTAAAAGGGATTGTCATATAAGGTCTGTTTTTTTATTTACGTGTAGGATAGGTCAGTGCAGACTGCTGGTGCAGCTAGGTGTAGCTTATGGGCACCAGGTTGAGGGAAAACTACCAATCGCGTTAGTGCAGTTCGTGCAGCGATAGGAGCGGATAATTCTCTAACCTCAGAAAATTATTATTCAAGTAGATTGAAGTGGAAACTAACCAAGAAAAAAATATGTTATATTGATGAATAGAACAAAATTTACAAAGTTCTATTGTCGGTAATTATAGAGGAAGATGGAGATTCCCTATCTCCCAACCCCCTGAAAACAGCTTCATTGAAGTACCTTATAAATACTATTGCTCCCTCCCCATTCTGCACTTATTACACCTCCTCTTGAGCAGGTGTAGATAGTGTAAGATTGGGCTCCCTACACCGAAATAACAAACGCCTTACACTATTTGCACTAACCGTATAACAAACGCCTCAGTGCAGAAAAGTGTAAGTTATTGTGCACTAGTGGATGATAACAAACAGACTTAATATCACAAGACAAAAAAATTTGTCGGCCAAATTTTCGAAAGGTATTATCCGTTCACAATCCGATGTCTACAGGTACAGGTACAATTTATCACCTTTCAATGCTATTTGATAGGGAAAGGTGATAAATTTACCTGCAACTGTGGACATCGGATTGTGAACAGGATATATGTAAGATTTTGAAAATAAAAAGAATGCAAAAATATGAAGAAAAAAAAACTTCAAATTAAAATTATCAGTTTGACAATGTCAAAAAATGGTCGCTGAAATACCATGTTGTTGGTATTGTCCAGGTAGCAATATTGTCAGCTGAATACCGAATTTATTGTCGAATGTAATACCACAAGAGGTTTCAGGATTACCGGATAATACTTTTATCTGTCACGAAACGCGTTACGCAGCGACACCACGACTCCGAAGGAGGAGTGGTGTTGCTGGTAACGCGTTGAGTGTCAGGTAAAAGTATTATGTAATCTTGAAACATCGAGTGGTATTCAAAAGGTTATACAACGAACTAAACTTTGATACTTTAAAATTTAAAAAAAATTTATAATAGAATTTGCCATAAATGCCACCAAGCGCGATAATCCCAAAAGGCTTATCACTTTTTAAGCCTCTCGTGTCATATGGGAATAATGTACAGTGAGTTGTATAACCGGTGTAATACACTCTAGTGAAATAGTCATTGAAAGCGTCAGCGTTGTCAACACGTATTTTCTACTTCAGAAATCTTTATTGTCTGTTTCAGTCTTCCAGGCTGTCTATTCTCGAAACCGGGGAATAGTGTTCTCACGAGAACAATTGCTCTGTCTTTGACAGTGTTATGGAACTATAAATATGGGTGACTAGGACAGAACCTTCGTTCTCCAGTTTCGAGAATACAGGCTCAGATGATTGAAGCTTGTATATTATTACTTTTCACCGATATCAATACACCACCTCCTCTGTTTTTGGTTGTAATTTGCGCAGTTCTATCAGCTCTAAATATATTAGATATAATTGCCACAACAAAGTTCTTCTGGAAATATGTCTTCAGAAGCTTTCCGTAATAACAATAACATCACAACTTAGCATTAAGTTCAACTCCGCTAACACATTCTGATAGTACACATGCGATGAGGTTGCAACTAGTTTTTTTCTGTATGGCCAGTAGATTCGTACTCCTTTTAATCTGAAATGTTCGAGTACTGCTTTGTAGTGTACATTCACTTGCTCGTTCTTTGGATATATTCGAAGAGCCGTTCAATAGAGAATTCTCGAGTTGTATCTTTACTGAGCTTTTTCTCGAGTACTGCAAAGTGTTCAGCTCGGAGGTTATCAATTCAAGATGTCTATAAATATTGCGCTTCCTTGCTGTCATAAATTCGTTGCTGGTATCAATCTCTCAGGCTGATCAAATATTTGATTTCCCCTGACTGGTGGTAATTGTAGCAGATCACTGAAGAGCAGTAAATTAATACCGCCGAATAATTCTTCATTATACTTAAACTGCTTCAGCCTGGAATCTATCACACATAGCATTTCGTATGGGACCATTGATATTCCATCTATGAAGAGGAATAGAGTATCTTTCCACTGCACCGTAATGTTCTCAGGTATCCTCCAGTTAGCATTGGCATCTGTATTAGTCGGCCATCCTTCTGAACTGGTAATGCTGCGAGATAAGCCTGAGTCTCATGCATCCGTTACGTTGTCCGAAAAACCTTCTATTCTGACATATTTTCATACGATTATGTTAGAACGGACATCGGACGTGAGAAAACGGATGCATGAGACCCCAGCTTTACATCTATGAAGATATCTTTTTGTACAGCATTCATTGTTTTCTCTGCTGTATGGAATTGATTATGGTTCATTGGTTGTTCGAGAATTTCTTCTTGTTCTATTTCATTTATTAGAGGTAGTGCCTCTTTCTCCTAAATCTCGAATGCACGTGCTTGGTTGAAAGCAGTCTCCAATTGTCGGTCAAGTTCTCGATACATATCCATATGTTCACTCAGTTGTCTAAGCCATTGTTCATA